ACGAGATCCTGAACTTGAGCCTCTGTGTCGGCTGTCAAGGGCTTTGCCTACACGTGCTGTATCAGAAGTGCGATTTGCTGTCAGCACGAGGGACTGAAGTTCTCTGGCAAAGTAGTAAATACGCGAGTCCTGTCTCGTGTGTGTGTGTGTGTGTGTGTGTGTGTGTGTGTGTGTGACACTAAACATTTCCACCAACAGGACATTTTTAAAAATTAATTTTCTGCAGCAGCATAGGGACGTGGTAGCTTCTAAAGAGCATACTGGACACAGAATGGCCCCATTTTGGACAGCAGGTCAGTCTTGGTAGAGTTACTTGAAGTCAGATAAATACCGTCAACGTGCCGTTTTGAAGTTGTCAGAATTCATTCAGCCCCCATCATAAAATAACAAAAACGCAAGTCTGCCTTCTGCTTATTCCCACTTCCGTTCAAAACAAGAAGAAAAGAGACTCAGAGATTCCATTATGGGGGGGTTTCTGTTCAGCACGCCGTAGGAATAGCTATTCCCGCATTTCAAACACTTTATACTAAACTCTGCGTCATAATAAGCAGTTTTTAAAAGTCACTTCAAATTGGCAACTTTTAAGCCCAATGCATCTAATCTCCTGCAGCTCAATGTCCTGATGCGCACGGGGACATCCCCTAGTGGACGGGACAGAAGTTGGGGGCGAGTCCCCAAAGCAAACGGGGGTTGGCCCACGTGCCTTCTCGTTCCTGAATCGGGGTTCGGGGTTCGGTGGGTCTCTCTGACTCGCACTGCTGCCTCACCCAGGGTCAAGGACACTGCTCCTCGGGCAGTCCAGGACCAGCGGCCCACGAGGCCACCAGCCCCCACAAGGTGACCTCGGCCCTGCCTCTCACACGGAACACAACCCCCTGAGCACCAGCTCAGTGACCTGCCCTGCCCTGGCACCTCCCACTTTCTGACCACGTCACTGTGAACTAAAATGGCACTTCACAAGTCTTGCTGTTAAGGAAAATTAGGAAGGCGGGTTGGATTACAAAAATAGGAAATGTCCGGCTTAAAATGGGTGGGATTTTGCTGTGTCATCCAGCCGGCTCAGGGCCCAGCAATGGCTGAGGATTGTTTTCCTCCGGGGCGGGCCGCCCCTGGGGTTCCCGGCGGCCCCGAGGCAGAGGGCTCCTCTCTGGCAGGCCCCGCCGGGCTGGGCCGGGCTGGACTCAGAGGGCTTCCTGAGCCCACACCCAGGTTTCCTGCAGGGGCCGGGCTGGGCCGGGCAGGAGGGGCTGGGTGCCCAGTGTTCCCTTCACAAGGGCTTCCTGGCAGTCTCTTCTAACCCAGTTTCAATGCCTTAGGAACTGCATGACATGCGACCATGACAGGAGTCCCCCACGACCAGAAAGGGTCTCCTCTGAGCTTCCCTTTACCTCTCCTCCTTCTGCTCTGACGGCGGGGAGCCATCCTGGCCGGCGGGGACCCATGTCTCCTGTCTGTCAGCTGCCGCGGGGTTTCCAGAAGGGGAGTCCGGCTCTGCCGGGCACGCGGGACGAGACGAGCTTTTATACAGGGAAGCTGGTTTCCGCTCCTCCGAGTGGAAACTGTGACTGCTGAAGTCCTGGCCTCTGCGAGGTGACAAACGCTTACTGTGCAGACTCCTTTAAGAGGCACTTCTTGGAAGAACGCTGGAACTTTCCGGGGGTGGGGTGGGGATGGAAACACAGGAGGGAATGATCTGCTCGGCCGGCCGGTGAACCATCAGGTACAGGGGCAGCGTCTCCTCCAGGTGGCATCAGCTTCTCCCTCGGTCCCTGGGCGATGAAGGTCTCTGTCAGGAGAAACCCTTTCTGCTCGGAAAGGAAGCCCATGGAGCCCACAGGTGCTAATAAAAACCCAAGACCAGGGTGAAGAAAGGGGACAGGAGTCGGAGCTTGTAGGAAGTTTTCAAGTGCTCGGTGTCTTCCTGCAGCCTCAGGACCAGGACGCAGAACGGAGAGCGGCCGGTCGGTCGGTCGGTCGGTCGGCACAGATGGAAGTGGGGCCCGGGTGGCGGGCGTGGTCTCGGGGGCTCACCTGCCCAGGCACAGCACACCTCACTGGGAAGCCGGCTCATTCTTTTCTTCCCCAACACGGTGGCCAATCAGGCCAGCCTCAAGGAATAAAGGGGACTTGGAGGACAAAAGTCACACGTATTGAGATGGGTGAAGGAAGAAGCACGGATCATTCCGGAGGACAAAGCCGGTGCATGAGCATTCTAGGTTAAATTTAAAATCGGCACTGAATTTCGTTCTCTTGTATTCCTTTGGTAGCTCCACAAGCCAAAGTGAGAGGGTCACGTCACAGTGTTATTTAACTGGGGATACCCTTTGCTGTAACGACACAAGACCCCAGAGAGTCTGGAGCACATATTTAAACCTAATTGTGTGCCCTCCATAAATTCTTAATTCGGCAATCTCGCTGCACTATTGACTTGCTGTGCAGCGGAGACCCACGGGGTTGCCAGCCTTCCTCACTTGAGGGAGCACCTCTCCTATCAGATGATTGGGAAGAACAGTAGCACTAACTCCCACGCTTACTTTTAAATAAGAAAAGAAAAAAGGAAACCATGAGAATGGGGGGCTGTGCTGAAAAGACTCCTCTCAATCCGGTTTAACCAGGAAGAATGTTGACTTTTCTTCGGTTTAAAAATCAAATATTAACACAGTGCTGGTTTATTGGCTGAAAATGAGGGCTTGTTGCTGGAGAGGGAAGGCCCTTCTGACACCCTCCACTGTGCCGGCACACACCTCGAGACTCTCTGAGTGCCTTCTTTACAAGTTGAAAACAATTGCCATCATTTTGTGACATACTAATAACGATTGTAAGTGCTTCCTTTGGGTCACCTCACTCCAGTGCCGCAGTGACCCCAGGAGGTGAGTGATGGACGGGAGGACAGGTGGGGAGCACGGTCCCCACGCTTGCTGGGCAGGTGCCGGCTGGGCCCCTCTGCAGCCAGCCCGCCGCGCGTGGATGGAGGCTGGGGACTGACGATGGCTCTCTCCCGCCCTCCCCGGGGCGAGCTATTTATTTCGTTCTAACTGACTGAGAAGCAGGTTTCTAATCCCACCAATTTGAAATAAATTCTTTCCTGGTGGCTGAAACTCCAGCGTGCTGGTACAAGCCTCAGAGGCTCAGCTGGAAACCGCCGTGCGCTGGGAGACCCACCGACCCTCCGCCCTGACTCCCCGCAGGCACACCCCAGTGGCGGCGGGTCGGGTGGCCAGCCCAGTTGGGGTCCTCGCTCCCGGGGCCGCTTGCTTCCCACCTCCGAGAGGGAGAGGTCCTGTGAGCAGAAGCACTCTTCCTCTGGGAACTCCCCGCCCCTAAAGCAGAACTCGTCGCCCTACTGACACCGAGGCAAAGGGGGGCCCGAGGACAGGGCGCCGCTGCCCCGAGCGGCTCTGTCTCCCAAGCGCCTTGGGTGGGAACAGAAGTAAAAAGTGGACTCCCAGACAAGCTCTCAGTTACCTTTGGATGGTGGACCAGCTTCCGAATCTGTCCCTGGCTTTGAGACAGTGCAGGGGCTGGGAAGCTCCAGGAGCACAGGTCACAGGGTCGCAGCTGAGAGAGTGGATGGCCACTCACGGCAGCTGGTCAACTAGCCAAGTAGCCACCAGTCCTGGAGAGGACGGGGGGCAAAACAGACGTGGAGGGGCCGGTGCCGAGCCAAGAGCCGAGGAGGCCAAGGCGAGACCTGTATCCCGGAAGGAGACACGTCTGTGGGGCCCGACCCTCTGACGGTTCGTGCCAGCGTGGTGGCCCCTACAGGTCCACGCACACCTGTGGGAATGAGCCAGCGTCTCTCGTTTACGCATCGAAGGCAATGGAGACTGCAGGCCTTTTGTCACTGAGTCTCTGTCCATGACTGACCCCCCGCCACGTGACCCTTATCTTTGATCCCACGGTTGACACCTGCCCAAGGAGACCATGCCGTTCAGAACGGCAGCATCCGATGACGACGTGACAGAAGGTGGACAACACAACTGCCTTGGCGGGCGGCACATGGAGACCTCCCAGTTCTCCATCCTGATGGTGAATCGTGCACGGTATTTGGCCTTCCTTCCTGACAGCGACATGGTCCATGCAGCAAAAAGGCCCAAATTGCTCTGGGAACAGCAGTGAGCATTTGTGCCCCAAGGACACGGTGCCACGGAGGGCACCCCACCCCCACCCCGCAAACAGAAGGCCAGTCGGGGCAGAATAATGGGCCCACGCAGCCTAGGACCATTCAGAGCAGAGTCCGGTATTTCACACCAGGTGACACATCTTAGAAATACAGCTTCCTACCTGCCCACATTCCGGTTCCCTCACTAAAGCTGAGTGTCCACGCCGTGCTGGGCCAGGCGCCGCCTGCCCGTGGGCTGTGGCCACTTTGAAAGCGCTTAGGTTTTCTTGTCTCAGTTCCTTTAGGGAATTTACCCCGTTAAGCTGATGAAATAGAACACAGCAAAGACATGATGTTTCTGCCTCTAAATCACAGGTCGGCAAGACCATGCAGAGCGGACATGACCTCGAAAGGCAGAAAATTATGGGGTGACTACACTTTCCTTTTTTCACCGAAAGTACCATCTGGAAAAACCCCTTCTCAGCAGCCTTCCCCACAGCCGATCACCGAAGGAGCAGCTACCGTCGGTGCCACCCTGTGCCGCTGGGCTCCCCGAGAGGCAGCACCTTTGTGCCACCGAGTAAAGGCGAGCCCCCCCGAAAAGTCAGGGCGAGGCAGGGCAGGGAGAGTGGGTGGAAAGTGCGTTCTCAACGGACCGTTTCAGGAGGCCGACGGCCGAGCCAGACTTCAAACACACGCACCAAAGAAAGTGACCAGAAGTGAGGCGCGAGCCTGTTGGAACCAGTGGACGCCCCCAGTGTGTGACAGGACACGCTGACCGTGCGGCCTTCTCTCTCTCTGGAAGGTGATGTTTCTCTAACGACTAACCCCCCCCCCCCCGCACTGTTTAGACAGTTGGCTGCACATCAGAAATAATTTTTTAAAATTTTGTACTCACCCAGGGAAAATGCCGGCTATGGTCTGAAAAAGAAAGAGAAACAAAAAGTTAGTTTTCTGGTTAATAGGTTCTAATTCTAGCCACCTCTTTCTCGGCATCACCGGCTAAAGGTGCCCATTTTTGCTTCATTGTTTGGGTTTCCTTGAGGCCTTTTTATCTACGTGACCGCAGCTGTGTTTTGCTGAAATCATCAGCTTTCCAAAGTGTCCTGACCCGAACTCTCCTGTGATGTTCGGTTGTTGGTTGATGGTGGAGGGTGGTGGCTGATCCAGATCTGAAACGCTGGGTGTCTCGCCACGAGGCGCCCCATCAGTCAGCTGCTGTCTGTAGCCTCCAGTGTCCCCTCCCCTGACGCAGTCCCCTCAGCCCGCCTTCTCTCAAGTCTGCCTCTCACTCCTGCTCGGGATGCCCCCGACCTCAGTCAGCCGTCACTCAGCTTACTCATCATTCCCCATTCGGTTAACTCTACCATCCTTTTGAAAACCGCTCTGCCGGGATGTAACTTACACACCATGAAGTCCCCTGTTTCAAGTGCACAGTTCAATAGGTTTCAGCACAGTCATGAGTTCTGCAAACACCACCATAATCTCCTTCTAGAACATCCTCATCATTCAAGAGAAGCTCCATTCGAATTAGCTCATTAACTCCCTGGTCCCGCTGCCACCTCAGCCCATCCTCACCCCCGCCCGGATCCCTGGCAATGGCTGATCTACTTGCTGGCCATGGACGTGACTATTTTAGGCATTTCATGTAAAGGGGACCCTGTGATATGTGGCACCTGTAGTGTTTTTGAGGTTCATGCACGATGTACCATGGACCAGCACTCTACCTGTTTATGGACAGGTCCCATCCCCTTGGAGGGACAGACCACGTTTTGTCTCTCCAGTGCTCACCTGACAGGTGTGCCCCTTGTCCTGGTGTGAGTGGCCGGGAAGGCAGCCTCATGGGAGGGTCCGTGGCCTGCATCTACCTGTCGCCGGGGACATGCTCGGCGGTCACTGCGCATCTGTGCTGCAAGAGAATGGAATCGATCATCACTGTTTTAGAGTAGCGAATGCGGGACATGGCGTTTCCCACCAAACAGAATACGTCCGACCTGAGGCGTGGCCGGGCCGGGTAGCACAGGCAGTAGTGACCCCACACTGCACACTTACAACAGGCTGCGCTCACCAAACAGCTGCCCTGGGGGGCAGACTCAGAGCACAAGATGCCAAAGTAACAACAGATCAGCTTACTAAGGAACTTTTCAATCTACTTGTGCCAATCCACAGCTCCCATTATTCTTAACGGTGGAAGACCAAACACCGCCCCCCACACCCCGCACTGGGGCCAGGGCCAGGGTGTCCCCTCTCACCTCCTATTTAACATGCACTGGAGGTCCTAGTCGATGCCACAAGACAAGGACAAGGAAGAAAAGGCATGTAAATCAGAAAGAAAACGAATACTTCCTTATTCTCAAGTGACGTGATTGTCTACATAGAAAATTCTAGAGAATCGACGGAGGAGCTGCAGGGTAACACACGGAGTCATAGGTTCCCAGAGTGCAGTGGGGCCCGCGGCCACAGCAGACGGCGGGAAGGTGCGGGGTGCTGGGAGGTCATGGGGGATGCAGACCCGCTTTTCCTAGGGAGAGCTGGTCCCCAGAAAGAGCCTGGGAAGAGCAACTCGCGCTGTTTGCCTGGGGCCAGGCGCGGGGACAAGCCAGGAGGGGACAGCACCCTGACTCTGTCAGGGGACAGACAGGAATGCGGAAGACAACCTACATCGACTCAGACCCAGCGACGAGGGGAGCGCGTCACAGGCAGGGGCGGGGTTGCAGCCCAGGAAGACCCCCGTCGCGTTAGAAGCAGGGGCTGGGGGTCCCGGTCAACACTGGTTAAATAACTGGGTAAGCGTGATCGACAACACCCCAATCACACACAAGCAATGTGTTTTAAATTAACCTTTGAACTAATGCTGTTTTACTTTGATTTTGTAGCTTTTTAATCTAACGTATTGGGGTGACACTGGTCAATAAAATTATACAGGTTTCAGGTATGCACGTCTACAACACACCATCTGTGTGTACACTGTATTGTGTGTTCACCGGCCCAAGCCGAGCCTCCCCCCGTCACCATTCACCACCCCCACACCCTCCTTGCCCTCCCCCACACCCCACAAGTAGATCACATACTGCACTGGTTTGGGGTGCACGCAGGTCAGCACGAAACCACAAGCAGCAGCTTCTCTGAGCACAGAAGCCAAGAAAAAAAACCAAGTGACGAGAATACCCTCCGAAGCCAGCCTTTGTCACGCGAACACCTCCCTCAGCCCCAGGCGCTGCCGCAGATGGAGCAAAGTTCTGGAAAAGGGGGGATGAACACATGGGAGACGGGGCGAGGGGTCGGATCCGGAGGACACAGCTGCTCCACCGTGGGGGCAGGGTGTCGCTGAGGAGCCTGCACGGTGTCCTTCCACCGTGGGCAAGGTCCCTGGTCTTATCTGGGGCAGCACCATCCTCCGGGGCAGCAGAGAAGCCGCCAGATGGATGTGGGTCAAGTGCCTCAGTGGCTGTGACGCTGTGTCTCCCACAGCCCGCCCCAGGAGGCACGCTGAGTCCCATTTGGAGGACGAGAAGACTGAGAATGGACCAGTGGCCCACCAAACAAGGCAGTGGGCATCGGGGATCAGTGGACAGTGTCCCAGGGTTGCTGAGACCACTCTTGGGGGGCTGCACAGGGGGATCCAGCCCCCACTGTAGGGACATTGGTCCGCCTGGTTTTTCTGTCTCCTTTCCCCAGTGAGGCTGTAATTCCCGGTCCACGAAGGACATTCTGTTCAGGGTGACGCCGATCCTGGAGAACTCCTCCCTCCAGCAAGGGCTCCACTGTGCTATGCAGGGTAGAAAGATCTGGAAAAGCCCAGGCAGGCCACGTACTTCCTGTGGGGAGCAGAGAGCCCATGGGAGTGGCTGGGCTCCCAGAGGCCTGGGCCCACTGACCACTGGGGTCTGTCCCCAGTGTCCAAGCCACTTGCTCCCAGAGCCCAGAGTGAGAGGATGCCCTCTGGACCCTGGGGAAGAGGCCGTGTGAGGGCGGGGAGCAGAGAAAGTCTGCCCTGGGGGGCAGTGGGCAGCGGCCCTACAGGAAGTGGCTGGGCTGCAGCCTTCCTTCCATATGGCTCGGGGGCTGTGCAAAGACCTGGCCGCGTTAGCGTGCATCCCAGCCTTGCCAAAACCGAGACACGGCCACGGCAGTTAGAATCGATGTATCGGTGCAGTTGCACCTAAGGAAAACGTGAAAATTATGTCTGATTTGTCAAGTGGTGAGGTGGGCAGGCCTGGCCAACCTTTCCACATCCAGAAGGAAGTAAAGGCCCCTGGACACAGCCTTGGCCTGAAGCACCGGGTCTGCAACTTCTCCTCTGCAACGGACAGCAGCGTCTAGAGGATGCTGGGATGCACATTTGCATCTTTAAAAACGTTTGTAGTCTACGGCCATACCACCCTGAACACGCCCGATCTCATCTAAAAATGTTTGCATGCACCGTTCCCCATGTGGGTTGTATCTACAATGGAGATCTTATGACGGGTTAACATGTTACAAAGCAAGCGCACACAAATCCAAGTCCAGATCGCTGTGAACTTGGACTGAGACTGTCAGCATGAAGCGGTCCTGGCCACATTCTCTCGGGTTCCAACCTCCTGGACAAGAGGTGTCCTGATCCACTGGTCAGGCCCTTGGAATCGCAAGGAGTGTTGCTCTCTGCAGGTCCTGGCGACACTCAAGGATGATGACCCAGACGATGTGTTCAGATGTATCATCCGAAGAGCAGGACAGTCACTACCCGGGAGCAGACAACAGTGGCTCGTCACAGGCACTCAGTGCACCAGGAAGGGGGTGGGGGGTTCAGTGAGGATGGCCCTCAGCTCCGATCAAGCTTCTGCTTCCAGGTGGGGACAGCGCAGCAGGTCCTGGCTCCCCGGGTGCAGACGCTCACCGAGCCCACTCGGCCAGGCCTCGCAGTTTCCTGGTGCACCTTTCACATACTGTCAAGGCCATTATTTCCAGCACTTTCTACAGCATGAAAAGGTCTGGGAGTTGCCGCTGAACCCCCACCCCACCTTGCAGGGAGCGAGAAAGCTCCCGAAGGAGTGGGGTGAATCCTACCCCGCCCGCCCCGCAGCACGCCACCTGGAAGCGGGGGAGAGACTCCTAGAACAGCATTGCCAGTGCTGGAAAAAAGCCCCGGCTGCTCAAGCAGCGATCCGGTCAGTCTCTGAGATGAGCCGGACTTGTAAACACGGGGCGGCATCTATGACTTATTCCCGGGCAGCTGCCCAGCAAAGACCGTGGGCGTCCCCCCACAGACCTCCACGAGGGAGGGGGCAGATGCTCCTGGCACTGTCCTATGACTACCGACCACAGGCCATCGCCGCTCTGTGATGACGGGTGTCTCTGCCCGACCGTGGTGCACCCACAGAGCCCTCTCACAGAGCGAGGGCACCTGGAGCCGCTGGCCTGTCGGAGCGGACGTTGCTTCCAGCACGCCACACCCTCCCGAAGGTCCGCCACTTCCCTGGGAGTCCTCTGTGAGCCCGCCCTCCCTCAGCCCTGTTTTCAGGGACACAGCTGGGACCGAGCCTGCCTCACTTTGCCGTACTGTTCTCCCCAGTGGGGTCCCACCCTGACCCCCTCAAACCCATTCTCCCGCCTCCGGGATGCTGGCTGTTGTCCCCCTGCCACACCCCATTTGACTGCAGTAAACCGACTCAAGGGGATGCCCAAGACAACGGTGGCTGATCCCCTTCCCACCCTTGGGGACCCCGGGGTCCTGGTCTGGGGGCTGGGTGAACACTGTGCCCAGGGAGACCCAAGCTCCCCACGGTGCATCAGACAGTCTCTGGGCAAACATCACACATCAACATCTTTTTCTAGTTTGCAGAAAACTGGAACCCATGGGTATAACGTGGTCGCTTTACTTTCTGTCAGCTATTGCATGTTTGCTGGTAAGTATGACCTGGAGTAAAAGGACTGAAATACAAGTCACCCATTAATGGAAACATTGGGGACCAGCAAACCAGTATTGGACCCTCAGCTTGTTTTTGTGGGCTTGCCTGCCTGGAGATCATATTTTCTAATACACACATGGGCCCATGGCCTTCTCTAGTAAAACCAGAGAGAAACAGCCATGTGCTCAGGACAGTGCCTGGCCCAGGGCAGGCAGCCAGAACCCCATGCTGGACAGGTGAACGCCACGTCTCGGTGTTGTGACAAAGTGACCAAGTGCCGCGATTCCAAACCTGCCGCTGCACCAGCACGTCCGAGGGCCAAGATCCCCTTCCTGGGGAGCCTCTGAAATTCAGCCCCGAGGTCGGAGCTTAGGGCCGGGTGTAACTCGGCACCAGCATGAAGGGGCCTGGTGACCACACCTAACCCCCCTACATGTCTCTACCAACTACGAAAGGCAGGAGAGAAGGTGGGGGAGAGGACCAGCTCAGGGCGGCAGTGACCTTGCCACGGACCGCCTCACCACGGCAGGCCCTGTGCCTCCTTGCCAACCTTGCCAGCACCTTGATCTCACTTGATCTGAAACTGTTCTTCTCACCCCCGTGGGGTGAGTGGGACCGAGAGGAGAGCATTTCTGGAAAGCAAGGCCTGCTTTACTCCTCCCACTGGGGGCCGCACTGTGTAAAGTGCCCCAAAGGGGCTCGTTGCTGCAGGATGGTTGTGGTTACTGAACTCAGAATCTTTCCAAAAGACATCTTCCCATCTAACGAATGTCCGCTGGGCCTCGGAGAAAATGATTTATCTCTGATAGCAAATCACCATCTGTAGGAGTTATTTTCTAGAGCGCTGATGTGAAACGTCCCCGGAGTTCACCAGGAGGCCCTGGGCCTGTGAGCGGGCTGCTGACCATGCGTGTGCAGGACTGGCTGGTGACTGTCTTCACACACAGCTGTCAACAGTAGCAGCTACACAGGCCCAGGGCGAAGTGACAGTCCCCATAGCCACCTAACGGATGAGCCATGG